CCCGCCGGACGATTTATTAACCCATTTCGCGAGCAGATATTGCAAACTTGGTGAATTTTCGTCGAAAATAGATACCGATAACTTTTCGCGCGCGTAGGAACGCGAGCCAACGCGCTTTTCGCCGGCTTTTCACACCGAAATGCGATGTGGCCAGCGGCGGCGGCCGTTTTCCTAGCGAGAACACATTCGCCGGTTTGATGGATCACCTCGCCCCCTTCCCCCCCCCTCCACGTATCTTCTAATACAAGGCCCGAAGTATAAATAAAAAACGCACATTTTTCGCACACATTTCTCTCGCGCGTGATTTAACATTTTTATTATTATTATTAAAAAAAAACAAAATCGAGCGAACGAAATGATGTAATAAATTTTTTTTTTGTGACAAGATTTCTTCTGACCATTTGACAGTTGAGAACGTCATTAGAGATAAATGAGATTGGGGAAATAAATTTTGCGTTGTGCGCGCGCAATTCTTTTTTTCTCGCGTCCATTGAAAAATTATATCTTAATTTTATTCAACGTCGCGCATCAAGACAAATGTTGTTTGTACGTATTTCAACTGTACATCGCCGTCCTCATTAGCAGAGTTTGCGTCAATGAATAAAAGACTCTCGTCGTTGAAAATAAAGGCGTATTAAAATAGCAGCTGGCTGAAAGTACCTTCTTGGTCTCGGCGGTCCCCGACATAATTAATGTTGCTGAAATATATAACCTTTTTTCTTCTCTCTCTCTCTCTCTTTCTCTTTCATCGTTAAAAATTATTATCAAAACTTGCGAATGGCAAGCAGTTTTGTGTCCGCGTCGTATAAATATCTCTCCTTCAATTTCTCGAGACCTCCTGCTCTCGAATAATAATTTAAAAACTCGTTAAAAACATCACAGAACATTTTTTTTTTTTTTTTTTTTTTTTTTTTTCAACCGACAAGTGTAAACCACACGAAAACTCTGTTGATAAATAACATCGGAAGTTCGCAATCTCCGCAAATAGGATGAGAATAATTTTTTTATTTTGCATGCAAACAAATCGAACATGACGTTGCAAATTAACATCCTACTAAAGTTTCGCATAACATTTTAATAGTTAGTTACTTTGCCGTGTAAATCGTTGTGCAATTACATTGTGTTAATGTATTCTCATTTTGTCGCGACAAAAAATAGTTCACTTGGCGCGAGAAAATAATTGTTTACAAACGAAATTGAACGAATGCTGGCCTATAAAAATTGGTTGACGAAACTTCTTCTGCGTGTTTTTTTCTTACTTGCGAAAACTGTTGCGCACGTGTTGCGCGCACAACAGCGCTTTCTTTCTTATCATCTAGAAGCGCATTTTACACGTGAATGCACTCGCACTTCTCGCTGATTAGATGGTCATTGTCATCAGTTTTTCTTACCTCACAGCTGCCTCACGACTGCGGCAAACAATCGCGCGTCGGCAACGATGTGACCAACATTTCGATTTGCGAAAACACGTCGTCTTTTCGCTTTGCCGTGTCGCATTGTTGCGTTCAGCTTTCCTCCTCCCCTCCTGTTGTCTTCCTCGCACGACGACGCCCGGATAATTCGCTAATGGAGGAGCAACTCGACTCGAGCGCGCGTGCGCGCGTGCGCGCAATTACTTTGGATGCCGTCTTTATCGCTTTTCGCAACGACACTTTCTTCACGAAGCTATTCTATTGTTTCACACCGTTTCGTTCGTTATCTCCCTTCCCCTCGCGACATACTTTACGTACCCACTCGAAGACAACTTTATATCGGAAACCGCCGTCGCTTAATTGTATTAATTAATTAACTACGGAGGGGAACTGCCGGTGAGACCAACTTACAGGCACATTACGGTAACAAGTTTGCGGTTGCGGAAAGACGGAAGTTGCTCTATAGGTCAAAGTTGAACACGATGGGGACGTCGAGGCAAGGCATTCAATCCGCAAACGGGGGGATTTATCTTCGCTCGCTCGCCTCACGTATCTCCCATTTTGTCTCTCTCTCTCTATCTCTCTCGCGTTCTCTCTTTGTATTTCTCCTGATTCCCACATCGAACAAAGACACAATTTCCTGATGGACAACAAGCATTCCCGAAATGTTTCTTGTTGGCCTTGCCTGCGGTGCCGCTCGCTTTCAAACTTTCGAGCAACTCACCTCAAATAACCTAGTATTATTATGTTCTACGACACGCATATTGTTTAACCTTTTCGCTCCGGGACTGGTCCATATATGGACCAGCAAGAAAAGCAAACGTAATAGATGTTTATAAGATCAATTTAATGCACTAAATTTAGGAAAAAAATTGAAAAAAATCCTGGTTACTTCTTTGACCTTCAAAATTAACTTTGAAGGGGGGGGGGTAGCAGGTTATTATTAACTTTTTCAGCTAAAATGCGAGGTCAATTTTAAAGNAAAAATCCCCGGAGCGAAAAGGTTAATTTTTAACATTCAAAAGAGCGTTTATTATTTTGCGATCGAAAAATAATACAATTGTATAATTGCCCGATATAATTTGATCGTTCCTCTTGCATCGGAGAAACTGAGATCAAACGGTTCGGTACAAAAGTTTGCGCGGAGCGACGAACGAAGATAGGGGATCTTGTAATTCGATTCGCGAAATGCGATTTATTTCTCTTCTTCCTGTGTTTCTTTGCTTTAACTCTAAGACTTTGGTCTTGTCCTTCGTCTGATTTATTTATCACGCTAAAAGACGATCTACCGACAGACAGACGGTAGGTCTTTCTCTGCTTAGAGACTTTCACTTTTTTTCACCGCATAGATTCGTATTAGACGCGACATGGACGCGTGCGCGCGTTGAAATAAATTTTATTGTTTCTAATTTAGTTAAAAGTTTTTTTTACTCGTCTCACACGCACGTAACTGTCCGATTGATGTATGTCGAAGATACATATTTGATCGCGGCTACGCGAAAAGTAAATATTACAAAAAGAATTGAACCAATCGCAAAAAATGTGTGTGTGTGTGTGTGACAACAAGAACTCGGACGTATTTCGATCAAATTTGTTCTCAAAAAATTCACCGCTTTTCACCTGAAGACCGGTGTATCTGTTCTTTTAATCTTAAAGTATGGCAACGCATTTATATATATAGGCGAAGCGCGCCCTCCCCTGAACGATAGAGGCGTCAATTCAATCCGCAAACGGGGAATTTATCGGTCCCATCTCTCCTTTCTGCCTCTCCCGTCTCTCCTCCATAGACCTCTCTTTTCTTATCGCACGGAGAAGATTCTCCGGCAACGAGACGAGCTCTTAAAGATTTCCAAAGTGTTCTTTTCTCTCTTTTAACCTTCCGGAAATAACGCTTATCCGGAATCTCTCTTCTGTCCGATCCGTTTTCTTCTTCTTTTGGTTTCCATCGAAAAAAGTTCTCGGAGCGGTATAACGAAATTAAATGCCGGGATTATAAATGCCGGGATAAGTTGTTAACGACAATGAATTATATCGGCGTCGAAAATGACGATTTTGTTACACGTGCGCGTTCGCGACCTAAAGCTAAAATTGATTTCCCAAAGTTATCAATATATACTTCATGCGCAACGCACAAAGTTAGGTAAAGTGCGTTTTTTTTTTTTTTTTTGCACAGCAAACACAGATCCTTCGCGATTTATATACGCTTGACTTAACATTTTCCTTATCTGAGAAATTGCTTCCGCGAATCTCAGTTCGCCGGAAGAAATTAGCGCATCGTTTGTAAATTATTCTCAAGTCAGAGAGAATTACGACCGTCCGCTTTTCCGTCCGAGTAAAAATTGCATCAGTAAGTTAAAGAAATAAACTTTTAAATCACCTCTCGCAAATTCAATTTTATTTACGTACTTACACGAGTTTTCTTTGCGCTAAAACACATTGTTGAATTTTTTGTTTTTTTAATTTTCACGCATCGGTAATTGTCATTTAACAACGTTTTTTGCTTTATAATATCTGGCGGTTTGCTCGCCCACTTTTCGCGGATGAGTATTCTGATAACGATATGATGAGAAAAAAAAAAAAAGAAAAAAAATATGCTTCCTGGGCGTAAATTTTAAATATTGTCTCTATCCCGTGGAGAAATGAGCCGTCGTTTACTTCGGCTTTATGTTAAGGGGACCCGGGGCGGTGGAAAAATGAAAGGATCGTAAAGTGGTGAAAACTTTATATTTCAAAGGTGTCAACAACACTTGAGTAATATCTGACTAACGAGAAACAACGTTTAACGAGGTACCTGTGCGAGTATCTGCATCACCGTGATCGGAGCCGTAATCATTTCTTTGAACGATGTCATTGTCGAGAAAAAACAAAGCGGATATATATATATATAATGTCAAACTGATACTCTTGAGCGCTTTTCTTATGTGACAGGGTTGCGGAAGATATTCAGAATTTACTTTAAAATATATGACTGTTGTGTTCGGTTTACAAATATTCGTTTCGTTCAAAAGTGCAGATCGTGTTACACATGTGATATCGGATTTTAAATTTATATATGATGCCAGCAAATGCAGAATTTAATGCGACGCATATTTAGTTGGAAAATAAACGAGTCAGTTTCAGTTGTACAATAAATTAAAAGACCTCAGGTCGGGGGGGTTAAATCTGAAGGATAAATTTATTGTGTTAATTAAACGTGATGCTTATATACTCTCTAAACTGTTTTAATTACTTCCAGTCGTATTTTATCCAGTTTTATGAAAATGTATATACGATACAAATATGTAAAATTTTTGAACAAAAATTATTGTTTTCAAAATAAAATTTGAACATAAATAACAATACGATGTAAACCTGTGCGTGACAATGTGTTTTTTTTTTTCCAGGGGACTACAATAGCGTATTAAAATCGGAATGGTGTTGCGTACTACTATATACAACGAAACTTTTTATTCTATTCTCTAAATAATCTAAATAATAAATTTTTTTTTTTGCATTTTTCTGAACAAATGTATATAGCGTTTACATGTAATTTATATATCTCCTTTCTAAACAACCCTGTTATCCATAATCGCGCCACAAATTAGATGGTTAAACTTGCACCGCTTCCGCGTGTTCTGCGGATTCTCTTACTTGCGGTGGGTTTGTAATCTTTAAAACATCTTCTGCTGACGGTGTTACAGGAACCGCTGCGCTTTCTTCCGGAAACTCATATTCTTCCTGAACGGGCGTAGATCCAAAATGCTGGCCAAAACTTTTGTAGTGTTCATGACCGTGATTCTCAAAGATATGATGATGATGGTCCTCGTGGTGTTTATGATGATGATCATGTCCGTGCTTGTGATGATGATCCTCGTGATGCTTGTGGCCTTCGTGATGTTTGTGGCTATGTTTATGATCGTGACCTTCGTGATGTTTATGTTCCTCGTGATGATGATGATTCTCGTGATGATCGTGATGATGTTTGTGATCGTGGCCGTGCTTGTGCTCTTCTTTGTGCTCATGACCATGCTTGTGAGACTCGTGGTGGTTATGTTTGTGATGCTCATGATGCTGATGATGATGATCTTCGTGATGACCATGATGATGATCCTCTTTGTGACCGTGTTTGTGTTCGTGGCCGTGTTTGTGGTGGTGATCTTCGTGATGATGATGCTTATGATCTTCATGATGACCGTGATGATGATCCTCATGATGACCGTGTTTATGTTCGTGCCCATGCTTGTGATGATGATCTTCATGATGATGATGCTTATGATCCTCGTGATGACCGTGTTTGTGTTCGTGGCCATGTTTGTGATGATGATCTTCGTGATGACCGTGATGATGCTCTTCGTGATGACCGTGCTTATGTTCGTGTCCATGATGATGTTTGTGTTCTTCTTTATGTCCGTGTTTGTGATGTTCTTTGTGATCGTGTCCGTGATGATGGTGATGGGTTTCACTTTCCTTGTGAGTATGATGATGATGGTGTTCATTAACGTGATGATGATCGTGATGATGATGGTGCTCGTTGTGATGATGATGCTTGTGATGATGATGATGTTCCGAATGGTGTTTATGTTCTTCATGATGCTCGTGCTTCGAGTGATGATGATGACCATGGTGATGCTTGTGCTCTCCATGATGTTTGTGCTCGTGACCATGCTTATGACCATGTTTGTGATTATGGTCATGCTTATGCTCGTGTCCATGATGATGCTTGTGTTCAGAATGATGCTTGTGGCCGTGATCGTGATGATGTCCGTGGTGATGGTCGTGGCCGTGATGATGTTTGTGATCTTCGTGGTGCTTATGCTCCTCGTGATGCTCATGACCATGATGATGCTCATGACCGTCATGATGCTTATGTCCTTCATGATGTTTGTGCTTGGCATGATGATCGTGATGCGAGTGATGATCGTGATGATGGTCGTGATGATGTCCGTGATGATGTCCGTGCTTGTGATGGAACGAATGCGATGATCTGCCAAGGAACGATCTATCGAAATCGTGAATTCTGCGTTGCGATTCGATGACCGACGGAGTTACAATGGCGACGTGATTTCCATCATTTGACGGCGACAACTCGGTTATTCGGGTGATGATTTGCTTCGGTTGCGGAGTGATTCGCGGGACTACGCTTGCACCGAGGTTCGCGCCATAAGTCGTTCCGAGAAACGAACTTTGGCCATTCAGCGGTAACAATGGCCGAGGTAAGTTCAACCCGAGATCGGCGAGCTGTCGTTTTTTGTGGTTTCTCTCGGTCGACGCGATAATTCCAGACAAGTCCCGAGGCACAAACGGTCGTAGTGGTTGCAATTGTCGCGGCAGCTTGACGAAGTCGACCAGTTCCTGCTTGACCGCCGACACTTGCGGTCGAATTTCATCTCGTGCTCTAGTCTCCTGGCCAGTTGCTGCTGCCAGCAACAGCCCGACGACCGGAAACCACGCCTAACATGACAGATGAGCTCGGTAAATGAGTTCACATGCGACGTCTATCCAATTACTAATCTATTTGTATAATAATTTCACGTTTTCGATATTCATTCTTTATTATTCTCTAATTATGTTGCGCAGCTATAACTAGTCTAAAATCTTTTAGCTACAATATAATTACTGTCTTTAATTAATCTTTTTTTTTTATTATATTTTTATCTCTTTTTTATTGTATTGCGTTACATAAATCTAGGTAACAAGCGTATTGCCTCTATTATCCATTCATATCTCGAAGAAGCGACACTCTCAAAGAAACTACACGAATAATGGGTGTTTAACCTCTGGCAGACACAAAGCGTGTCGTATCAGGTATTCACTTTTGTCGCGCACACGTTCGTACGCGTGCACGTTCGAGCGGAAAAGCCGGAGATAATATCCAGTAAATCGTCGGGGAGTCGTCGTTTTATCGCGTTTCTGACTTTCTTGCCGCGAATATTCCGCGGAGAAAAGTAAGGGAGATGTATATACATCTCGCACGAGAGATCGGTTGGTTATAATCGAAAACCGAAATCACACACATCTCGAGCCGGATAGGAAAATCAGCGCGGTCAGCTGACGGCGTGTTTGTCGCGAGAAGGTCAATTAATCATCGAATATAATCGCGCATCGTGATTTATTCAGGATTTCCAGTGGGGACGACGCAATTGGGAATTGAGAATCAGCAGCAGGCGATAGGGAAAGCGTCAAATTATTCTTAGAGAGATTCGCTTTCGCGATTGGTCCCCGGTCGTGTGCGATCGAATCCGAGAGACGAGAAAAATATATTATATCTACGATGCAATTTTTGAGTTTGTCTATCTTCTTTGCGCTCTTATCCAGCCGAGACGTTTATAGAAATTGTTTTTTATTCGCTACAGTTACAGTGGTAGGCAGGGTTGGGCACGTATTATACATGAGATATTGTACATTGTATTTTATATACAAAACAAATATTTGTATAATAACAATTATACAACTAAGACTTAACGCTCGTGAAATTGTTAACAGGAAATATTTAAGGCCGATACGAGCCATTCACAGGATGTTTGTGCGGAAACTATGCGTGTACATATATATATATATATATACATGTAACGAATTCTACTTGTAAATTTTTACAAGTATTTTTTGAATTGAAATCTCAATTCTTAAAATCATACGGGATGCTGGATTTGCATCTCACATATGGAAAACCCCGGATACCTCCCTAACTAATTTTTTAAAATATTGCGAAAAATTAGTTAGGGGGGTATCCGAGGTTTTCCATATGTGAGATGCAAATCCAGCATTCCGTATGATTTTAAGAATTGAGGTTTCAATTCAAAAAATACTTGTAAAAATTTACAAGTAGAATTCGTTACATGTATATATATATATATATATATATGTACACGCATAGTTTCCGCACAAACATCCTGTGAATGGCTCGTATCGGCCTTAAATATTTCCTGTTAATTATACAACTAAACAACAACTATAAAATGTATAGTTGTTGTTTAGTTGTATAATTGTTAGCTGCGTTATGGTTATATTTGCATCAAAATTGGGGCACGTATTATACGGTATAATACATGCCCAACTTTGATGCCCACATAACCATACCGCAACCAACAATTATAAAACTATACAAACTATATATTTTATAGTTGTTGTTTAGTTGTATAATTGTTATTATACAAATATTTGTTTTGTATAAAATACAATGTACAATATCTCGTGTATAATACGTGCCCAACCCTGGTGGTAGGACGCGCGCGTTCCTTGTTTATTTATCGAATTATTGTTGAGACGTGAGGATTGAAAAAAGTACGTTATCGCAATTAAATTTATGTATCTTCTCAATCCGCGATTTGTTCGGAGAACTACATTGTATGTGTATTATTTTGGCACACAGAAAATTTTATTTACAACAAATGCCGCTTTCGGGATTTCGGGAACCCTTAAATATAAACCCGTGACCCGTGGTATGTGTGCCACCTAACTAAGATACACGGCGACGAAAATAAAATTCCGACTAAAATAGGATTTTTCTCGTACGACGCGCAAACAGCCAATATATAAATCGCGAGATATCTCAAGTCCAACGTAAACTCGAAGAAGAATTTAATACCACGCGGAATGCGGTGGTAATTGGAATCGAGAAATCTTTACCGATGATAAGAAAGCTTTAAGACCGATTATTTAATACTTTCAATCGTAGCGCGGAGACAATTAAACGTTAGATCCAATTAGAATCGAAGGAGTTCTATATCGAGGGAACTTGAGAACGTTGGAATCTTGTGTCTCGCGGGTTTTCTTCTGGTTTTTCGTCGCCTCTTCTTCTTTCCGCAATATCTCATTCCAGCGTCGTCGTCGCTAATTTTCCCGTTTTAGTAGCTGCGACAGTAACGATTCGGCGGCGACGAATCGCGCGATGAGTTAAGCGCTGATATATTCTTCTTGAAATGCAAATGTTCCGGCGTTTAATAACTCGGAGAATTTAATCAGCGACAAAGCAATTTATACAAAAAGATTCCGGACGGACAGTCGGAAGCGGCGACGGGACGTGTTTTGCATGGAAGGCGCCTAACGGCGTCTTCAGACAAACTTCGGCTTGTGTTTACAACCACGCTTTGAGCGCGAATCGGATTATTTGGTGAAAATTTTCCAGGACGTTCGTTGATTAAGCGCATCCGCGCGACGAGTCTTAATGACTTTTATTTGTGCAACGTTTATTTATTAACTGTCCGCGAACGTATTAAATATACATTTTTAAATCAAGACCTATGACAATCATAAATTTCAAGCGTCCTATTATTTTCCGTAATGGCGTTAGAAGTTGAGCGATACACGTATTAATCAGCGTACTCCAAAATGACAAGCGAATAAAGAATTTTTATGAATTATTTCGATAAATTTTTACACTCGCTATATTATATTTTACATATGCAGCCTACATTAAAAAAAAAAAATCGATTACGAAACATTTCTTCATTGAGAGTCTCTCGGTTAATTTTTCTCAATGAAGAAGGAACGGGATGTGGAAAAGTGCGAAGGAACTTACCCACGTAACCATGTCGGCGTTATTTCGGCGGGTGCGGCCAGCGAACAACTGGATGCTAAAACCGAGTGACGTACTTTTATAGAGAGCACCCAACTGGCCTTACTTTCTTCCGTGCTAAGCACCAATGTCGTTTACGACGTGGCCTAATGTTTTAATCGTCATCGTAATGTTCGCCGGACCGCGACCGGTCCCGATCCGCTACTGCAATCGCTGAAATTCATTTGTAACTAATGATTGTTACATCGGACAAAAAATTCGAGGAAGTTGTTTCGATCACCTTCCGCTGGCAACGATCGATGCAAACGGCGAACAATGTATTCTCCGCAGCAAAATTTTCACAAACACACATAATGTGTCGCGCATATATTTTTCGGAGTTAATTTTACGGCGGACAGTGTGTTATTTTTTTATTATTATTATTTTTTTTTCAGCGCATTTATATAAAGATATAATTTCCACACACATTTTTTATACACAATATATTTTTGCGCAACGGTAATAACGCGCTCGGATAGACATGTAAACGCGAATGTATGGGGAACGAACGCGGTCATTGTGTGCGAGAGCGCTTAAATTTTTGACGATATTTGTCTCGCGCGCATATATACAAATTTATTTTCAGACAAGGGGTATAACAGAATAAATAATAACCGCGCGCTTATTACCTCGCGGGTTTAGAAAGAAAATGGTTGGCTCTTAATTACCGGAAATAAAATACGAGCCAGATGAGACGGGCGGAGAGGCTATTTTAAGGTTCCGTTATTGCCGCAAGCAATTGTCGTAATTTGACTCGTTTCTGTAATATTAATCGAATTTTCCGCTTTCACGTCACTTTCATATCCGCCCCGCGTCCCTTGAGGGCAATGACAGCGTACATAGACTATTCAATACGCGTATTAACCACGTGCTGCGCGATCAGCCAGAAATGAAGCAAGCGATGCGTACGATCGAGTTGAATTAATAAACGTTTTACTCGATAAGGTGAATCCTGTGACGTCTTTAATACGTAGCTCTCATTGACGCGAATCCTCGCGAACGTTAATTAATAATGCGTTCGATAACGATGTGATAGATTAAGCAAATTCTTTTTTAATTACTGTGGAGTAAAATTAATCAATTAAAAAAGCAGAGATATTAATAACAAAATTAAGTGTACTTAAGTTCTTGTTTTTTTATTTTTTTATTTTACAAACAATCACGTGAAGTATAGAGAAAATTATATTTACTTATCGCTACAACACACACACACACACAAGAGACATCGAACTTTATTTATATTTTATATGACATTGCAATATTTTTCTACAAACAAGAGGGAGTTACAAAATGTGACGATAACAAACAACATAGCTAACTTTGCACTTACTCTCTTATTGGAATCGAACTATATAGTTTATAGAACTACAGGGTCCGCCACTTAAATCCGGACAAAAATTTTTTTCTCGAAAAAGTTGTTTATTACAGAAAATATGAAAAAACATAAATAGACTGCTTTATAGCTGGGTTAAGGGATCTTTTCTGAGACATTTTACTCAATGTATCCGCCCTGCGCCTCGATCACCGCTTCAATCCTATT